AATAAATAAATAAATTGAGAACTTATATATATGATAGGGGATTTATATACTTATATATGATTTGATTTATATACAACAAACTTATGAATAGTTTTTTTAATATTTACGGATATATTTATAAACTCTTTCGTGAAAATATCTATTTAATATTTTTAAACATTTTAAATTAGTATACATTAAATGAATGAATTTATAAATATCAAAGTTACAAATATAAATATACATAATTTTAAAATTCTTAGATAAACATAAATATAAATTTATTTATTTAAACTCGATAGTAAAAGAATTATTATTATTCCTTGAGGTCTCGAGTTTGAGCACCAGGAATGTCGAAGGTACGGGCAATTAATGTGAAATGGTTAAGAATTATTTTTGAACAAATATCGTCTTGTACTTACCCAAATTACTAAAAAAAAACTTGATTTATCAGGCCTTATTAACATTTTTATGGGCAATTTTACATATTTTGTCTTTAAAATTCAATATAAGGTATATTTTTAAAGATGTCAAAGGAACCGGGAAGATAACTTAGAAGGGAAGAGAAGAGAAGGCTAACGAAATTGACTTGGGCATGGCTTTTACTTTTGCAGCAGTTTGAACCTTAGTTATGCAATATCTATCTAATTATCTGTACAATTTTGCGTAAAAACCGGCAAAAGATTAACTGCCACTTATGATAAATTTCTTTGATGGGACTTGAATAAAGATATATAACATTTGAAACGAGGGAAAGTGAACTCAGCTACAAAATTCTCAGTGAAAAGAAGAGGTCGAAACGAAAAAGAAAGCAAGACTGTATGGTGAAAACAAAATATTAAAAACATACATCTAATTTCTCCTCTTGTGAAGCAGATGCCGCTTCTTTCAAACATGTCCTCATCACTTTACCAAGCTTATTGCAAGCATCAAGGCAAAGCTGCATTGCCTGTATATATATAGAAGCAAATATTATAACCACAGCTTATGTTATTTAAGGTGAGTGTCGGATATCGGTATTTGATGGATACAAGTATACTCTCTTTTTTTTTTAGGTTTTTACATATATTTGGAAATTACCCATGTTTGAATATATATGTCAGTATTGGACATGATTAGACTGAAAGAGTTAATGGCACTTAAGGTGAAATAAAGGGTCGGGTTCCAAATACTATAGCATTTGATTTGCAGGAATCAGATGCCCCAAATTTAAGCAAATCTTAATGAGTAGTAGATGGTAAGACATACCTCATTAATGTCTGGGGTTGGCCATTCTCCCGTAAATGTTAGTTGAGTAACCTCATAACGAGAAGGCATACATGTAAGCATTAAGCTTCCATCTTGGTAGCTTTCCTCTTCAAGAATAGGATCAATCACAAGGTTTTTCCCTAGACAGGCCTAAAAAACCAAAATCATGCATTAAACACGTGAAAAAGTTCTTCAAAGAGGAACTCGAACAGTATTCACCGTTGAAGGTTAGAATAGAAAGGACAAAACCATTCCATCATGGGTCAGAGATTGGAATTTGAAGAATTGTAAAATGCCATGCAGCGAAGAACAAGCTTCTGAATATCAATGTGCCTTTTTGTTTTCCAGGTTTTAGCAATGTATTATCAATCCCAGTTCTACTGTTCTCAATCACCAACTAAATTAAGTACATCTTCAAATCTTTTGGCATGTAACTGATATAAATGCACTAGCATCATCAATAATAGTGGAGCGCCAAATCTATTGGCATGTAACTGATATAAATGCACTAGCATCATCAATAATAGCGGAGTCATAATATTTTACTAGTACAGATAGTAAGTTGCTTACGTAAATTGGATTTGGGAGTGAGTATTAGATATGAGTATGCGTCTGACAGACTCTGGCACGCTCTTCTTCTTTTTTTCTTTTTACCACCCCCCTCAAAAAAAAAACAAAATCTTCCATGATTAAAGGACAGTTTCTCATTCTCATGTTTGAATACGCATCAGACATATATTTCAAGGGAAATGAAGAGTTGGAGTAACATAGGTAAGGGCAGTGCATAATAAGGCAGCCAACCTGAACTAAAGCAAAGTGAAATGAGAACAAACGAGCAGGAAAGCGTGCTCAAACTTATGTCTGCATAATGATCATAATGCTTAAGGCAAAACAAAGACACTTACCACAGAAACTGCAGCAACAAGGTCATACATCATGATCCCAGCATCTGCAAGGGCAAGACTAGCACACGATATCACCACAGGAATATCACCTGTAACCAATGTTATGAAGCTTATTAACAAATGGAAATAAAAGAATTTTGGGCCATATCCATAGCACATAAGAATTTTCATTTTATAGCTAATTTTTTTGACACCCAACAATCATCTACAGCATTGTTAAATACTTATTTAATGAAACAAGCATTATGTGAAACAGTAATTGTAAGAAAAAGAACCAACTTTATGAAAGATGCCATAAGAAGGATCAAAAGAATAGACAGGTTATGAAATAAAACAAAAAAGATATGAAAAAGGCATCTGTATCAGAAAAAACAACAGGCCAGTTTCAAGCCTAATTACTAAGGATTGATGAGAATACTTACTGCCCCCAGATTCCAACACCAATGCAAAGACATCCACGGTGGTCTTGGGAAATGTTTCCAACATTATTGCACCTTCCAAAGCTTTATGAAGCATTGAGGAAAACTCTTTGTGATCTGATCCCTAAGGAAAGGGAGATCAAGAAATAGATCAACTTAATTGAAGAAAAGAATTAAAAGAGACTAAATCAAAGATACTACATATATAATCCAATGGCACCAGAAAAGATTGGCACTTCCAATCATCTCACATACCTGTCCTCGAACTGGAGTGCCAAATGTTGTATAGCTGACATTGCAATTTAACCTCCCAGTATCACTGTACATCATTGCTTTCTTACTTTCTCTTGGCCCAAAACTAAATAATTCAGTACGAATAACACATGCATGTAGAGTAATCACAGAAAATATCAGTATTTGAAAGAAATTTTTGCAAAATAAAGCAAAGGGTTATAAAATCTTTAAAATAGTATAAAAAAGAATATGGAAATTTCACACAGATGATGTTATACTCACACAGATACAATGACCTTGGTATTCCCAAGCTCTGCATAAGCAGATCCAGAAGCAGAGTTTACTGCACCTGTCCTGAAAACTACAAAACACCAACATTTGAGGATTCATTTCAAGTCAGCAGGGCAGAATACATGAAAAATCCATTTACAAGTGGATATAAAGAATTATCCATAATTTTTCTATAAGAGTCCATCTTCCTTAGCTTCTAGATGCCAAAAAACTACGAGAAAATCCATTGTCCGCAGCATGACAATTATACCACTACGGATTTCTCATGCTCTATTTAAGAACAAACATGTGAATTTTATATAAAATAAGGAGTCAAAAGAACCAAAGATTGATAACATTCTGGCACCGGTAATAACAAATCACAAAGCAGCAAAATCACGTAACTACTCATTGAAATGGCCTTATTATAGAAAGCAATGGAGATTGGAGAGCACTAGACTATTGAAAAATAGAAAGATAGAATAAATTCTTTTTGTTGGTGAGCTTGGTAGGAAAGATGAAAATTTTGAGAGAAAAATTAACTTTCTTTCCGTTCATTGCTAGGTAGAGTTGAAAACCGAGAAGAAAGAAAATGAAACTTTTAGGAAATGCATAATTTTTAAACTAACTTTTATCCCTCCCTCATTTTCTCTCCTCTTATCATCCCAATTCGGAATAGTTTGTTCTTGAGCATTAGAATGGAAAATGGTTATCTCTTTTATTTTATTTACTCTGAATCTTTACTGCCAAGCATTCTCAAATTTTAATTTATTTCCACTTTCCCACTACCTCTTTCCATCTCTCCACTCAACCAAGCACAGCCTTAAGCATGAACATTCAAATGTTAATATAAAAATAAGAAAGGAGTTCTAAGAACCAACGATATAACATTCCGGCACGAGTAATAAAAAACCGCAATGAAGCAAAACCACTTAAGTACTCAATGAAATGACCATATTCTAGAAAGCAATGGAGAACACAAGACTATTCCCATACCCAGGTAATGAACAACACCGACATAAAGAGACGCACAAAAGAAAAAGGAAATATTTTTTTTTCTCAAGGATGATTAACAAAGAATCAACAGACTAGTATCTCGAAGATATCATAGTTTTCAACTTTATTTGCAATATAAAATATAAATTAAAACCAAGTTAACAATAACCATGATAATGGTAAAAACAAAAAGAACAACAACAATAATAAGAAGAAGAAGAAGATTTACATGCTGGTCGACACTGGTGGAAACCGCGGCCATCAGGTCGGACCCAATCGAGATCATTGTCTTTGAAAATGGGTGGGCGGGTTTTCTGGACAAGATTCGGCGAATACGTTGTCGGAGCTATACCGGGCTTTGCGGCCATGGTTTTTCTTCTTGATTTTCTCCTCTATTGACTCCGTTCCGGTCGCAGCTCTGCTGTAAACTTTCAAGTAGTTTAAGGTTTTATTGTTTCGTCTGCTAGGTCAAGACGATGCGTTTTGACGAGTAGAAAAATATATGGCTTAATAAGTTGATTTCAAGTGAAAATAATTTAGAAACAATGTGATTTATTTTAGTTATTTGATAGATTAAAATAATTTTAATTATGTTAAATTTTGTTATATCTGTGTTATGATCGAATATTTTAAATAAAAATATGTTTATGAAAAAATAATTAAAAAATATTAGTTATAATAAAATTGTGTCTCTCAAAGGCAAATTACTCTTACAATGACTTAGTTGGGTTCAATTTGGATTTAATAATAGCAATAGGCTGAGTGAGACAATTCAAGACTTGGAAATTTGAATGTTTGATGTCAACTCATCCTCAAATGAGGAGATATATGAAAAATTAAAGTGAATCTTGCTTAGCTTCAAGCAAGTGAAGTCATCAAAAAAGCTGAAAAAAGATCAATGCACCTGCAGTTTCAAACCTCAGTTGATTTCTCAATTTCGTATAACTTTCTGTACAAACGAGTGAAATGTGATACAACTCGTCTTTGTCCCATTCTTCTAAATAAACTCAACAAACAATACAATATGAAATAAATAATTTCTTGAAAACCCTCCTCTCTTCCTCTGCGGTGCCCTTTTAAGAGTACAAGGCAGAAAGGAAAGGAGGAGCTTGTGGGCAATGTATGTTAATCCTGTCTGTGGGATAGTTCTTCTCTGGGGGACCTAACATTTGCCATGTGGAATGACTCGAGTCGAGGTTCAGTTAAGTCCACTGCTTCATCATCAGGGACACACAAACTCCTAGCGTTGGAACTCAAAAGAACCAGTCTCTCCATGCACTCAGAAACGGCATCTCTTCGTCTTTCGACAAGTCCAATACCGTCTATATGTGATGGCAGTGTGCTCTTGGTTGACTTAGTAGGTGTAGTTGGCATGTGCTCCTCTGTATCATATAAAGCCTCAATTACCCTTTGATGTCTTTCTGCAGGAGCTTCATTCTTAAGGGAGGATGACATCTGCATAGTGAACAGAAAATGGTGATGTTATTGGATTCATTTAAAAAGGTAAGCAGACATAGCAGCCCTCCAATTGTTCAGTGTAAATAATCATCGAGCAAAGGCAAACAAATCGCATAGTAGCAGCTTCTAAGCGGATTTCAAAACATTACCTGGAGAAAGTTTACACGAATATTTCTTCTTTTAGATTTATCTGGAGCAATAGTCGAGAGTGTTTGAACAACCTCACCCATTGTCGGCCGAGCATCAGGGTCCAACAGCAAGCACTCCTTTGCTAGGTAAGCCATTACCTGCATCTCTCCTTCTGGAAATTTGCCTTTCAAACGAGGGTCGGGTAACTCTGAGGTCACTGACTTACAATCCTGTAACAGAGGGGTAGCCTGAATGGGAGACAAAGTGTAAACAAATGTTTTAAGCATCATATCCACCAACATCCAGATACTTTAGCACATGCAAACAAGCTACTTTACCAATATAACAAGACTTTCTTCTTTGTTGTTTGATTTATGGATCGGTTGTCGACCAGTGATCAGTTCCAAAAGAACTACACCGAAACTGAAAACATCTGACATAAGTGAGGCTCTTCCAACAATTGCATACTCTGGTGCAAAATAACCAAAGGTTCCTTGCATTCTTGCTGGAGAACTGGAAGTGCTGGGAGCTCCATCAGCTCTTAAACGTTTGGCCATGCCAAGATCGGTTATCTGAACATGTTCAGTACTTATGTTAGAAATTCATATGTACATGGTTTATTTTAGCATTCCTTTGTCAAGTGTACTCGATACGTATTTTTTTGTTGTTTTATCCTTACTTTTGCACTCCAGTTCTTATCAAGAAGAATATTTGTGGATTTTACATCTCTATGCAAAATTCTAGGAGCAGCCGCTTCATGAAGATATTCCAAGCCCTTTGCAGCTCCCATGGCAATCGAAACACGAGCTTCCCAGGAAATATTCTGCCCCCAAACCCCATTCAAACAATCCCTCAAATTACCATTAGGCATGTACTCAAATACTAGCAGTCTCTTATCACGTTTCCCACTGGATTTCGAACAATAGCCAAGCAAAGGCACTACATGACAATGATGTAGCCTCGACAACAACTCAACCTAAGCAGAACAACGCTGTAAATACATTATTGTGTTTTTGGGAACAACATAACGTTCATTAAAATAAATTAGACTTTTCATTAACAAAGAAAGGCAACTTGAGATTGTACCTCTTTCGAAAAGATGGAATCTGCATCGGGTCCTCCTTGAACTTTAAGTCGTTTTACTGCAACAATTCTTCCATCCTTGAGCTGGCCCTGATACACATAACTACTTCCTCCGAGTCCTATGAGGTTAGAATCAGAGAACTTGTTGGTTGCATTTTCCAGTTCGGAGTAGGCAAACTGAAAAACTGTTCCAAGTACAGTCCCCATTTTGCTCCGGTGAAGGAATGAAGCCTTTTGAAAGCAACCTGAAATAGACCAGACATCATGCTTTACATATCCAAACCAAGTTCAGAATGATGAATACTAGAGTGCTAGTATTGCCAAAAAAAAATGGTTGAGAGTTCTGAATAGAAGCATAACTAAAAAAAAATCATGTCATCAAAGAATGGAAGTTATAACATATTACAGCTTACATACCTGGAATAGGCCTAGTGGGGTAGCCGGCGTTAATCTTAGTTTCTGACACCAAAGAACTCTTATGACTAATTAAGTTGGTAGCACTACTGCAACTAAATTCTATATCCGACAAGAACATTGACGGTTGGATGGGGCATTTGGGGCACTTGTCCTTTCTATAGAAATAGCATGTTACTGAAGCTAGGAGTGCAAGAGTTGTGAAGATTACAGAAAGTAATAGGACAATTACGATAACATTGTTAGTGAAATGCTTTCTTGAAGATGGCACCCGAGGAAGTGACCCTGAAAAAAAACGTATAGTAGAAGTAAATAAGCTCCTAATCCTTGATCCCAACACTGGCCACTTCAAATTAAAAAAACTTGGTACCAAAGATTAGATAGGCATTAGTTACTTGCTACGCATAATTAATGTTCACCGGTCATCTGAAATGGCACATAACTGCAGCTGAACTATACTTTATTCTTCAGAAATACACATTTATATTTGGACATTTTATGTTGGAAGAAAATACCAGCAGTGCAGTTGCAGGCTGAGAAACACGTAGTGTCATGATTGTCGACTGCTACATTTGGGAATCCATCAGTGGCACATAAACATGTCCACCTATCTCCACTTGATTCAACTGCCAGGATGCCACACAATTTGGTTTTTTAAATACGACAAGACGGTGAAAAGACATTGCATAAAGCATGAATCATCCTTAGCACAAGTATACTTGAAATATCATGCAATAATTAGGCAGATTTGGTGCAAAAGGAGAAAAGGTGGGAAAGTTCCAAACTAAATCCTACTTAGATTCAGGGTAATTTCACCCATTTTCCTGCTATCATCTGTCAAAATGCTACTACTATGGAATTTTCATGATACCCTCACTTTGACAAAGCAATGGGATATGCACGTGGGTTAAATTCGAGGCTTTATTGCAGTCGAACAGCAATAGTAGCATCTTCTGTCAATTCCTAACACCAGCAGAACTATATGAAAGTAGTTTGAAGATTTCAGAATTAATCTATCAGAATAATATAAACATGTTACCTGGACTGCAATCACAGGATCTAGAACAGTTAGATTTAAGGATAGAGTTGGGGTCTCCTGGATATAAGGAAGAGCACGTGCATTTCCAGTTGTTACCGCCCGATGTATTAGAAAATACATCTGCCATTTAAGCGGTCACAAGGAGATTCAGCTAAGTAGCATTTAATGTAAATAGCAAACAAACAACGAGAGGCATCTATAAGTCTTCAGGCTGCAAATGCTTTAAAAAGTGCTAAACTTTGGTTGCCAACACATAACCAAGCAAAGGTGCATCCAAAACCCACTATTTCCAATGGTAATATGGTATTAGAAAGAAAATTAAAGAAAAAAAAATGAGAGATTTAAAGATGGTTATATTCATACTAACCACAAAGGCTTTGCTGAATCGAAATCAAGCAAATGATACAAGCAAGAGCAACTTCTACTTCGAGCTTCATTTGACCTGAACGCTAAGACAGAAAACAAAAATCTAGTCATCTCTATGTTATACAAGTCCAGAATGAAAGTCATGTAATGCTTCAACAGAATCTGAATCATGAATTACCTAATTTGATTCGTCCTAAGTATTTTAGATGAGCAACTGCATTAATATAGAGTAAAATCAGAAACCTACCTAGCTGGAAAACTTAATTCGATTTGTTGTTTCCAGAACTTCCAAACCATAAAGTCAACAAGATATCTCAATCCTCATTGAGGAAGTCAACTTGGAGTTCATTTTAGATAAAAGGGATCAGCAAAATGAAAGAGGGAAGAAATATAGAATAAAAGCTTGGGTGTTTGAGTTCAAACCTCCAGGGAGAAGCTCGAAAAACAGCACATCAATATGAATGGACAAAGACGGATGATATTCGAAACCATTGGAAGAATAGAATAGCAACAAAACAAAACCATCAACCAACTCTCTGAAAATTATCCATTTGCCAGCATGAAAATGACTTCTCAACCATTTCAGTCTTCAGGTTCAGGATAAAAAATACTGGGTTTCTTTTTTTCTCGTAATTTTGGAGCTTTGCCAAGTCTTTTTCAACGGTTAAAAATCAGAAAGAAGATGGTTTAACTTCAAACTTCAACATGTACCGACATACTCTGCTACTGTATATGCTGGGGACTGGAAACGCACGTTTGTAGAGTTAAAATTTATGTATTTGGTAATAATTAAATCACTCATATTAAAATAATATCTTAATTTAAATCATTCAATAAATTTAATCTTTTATATTTTAAAATTTCATCAATTTAGTTTTTTTCTTAAATATTGACATAAAGCAATAACAAATTATTATAAAATGTTCTATCTAATATTCAATGTCAATAATATATTTGTAATAATATTTTAATTGAGTGATATGTTTATAAATTTTAGAAAAAAAGGTGACTTGTCTATTATAAACACATAATTGAATGATTTGGCAGGGTATTTTACACTTAAAACTTCAATGTTGTTGGAGGTCCCACTTTTTGTCGTTGTCCGGATTTTGCCGTTGGATCAAAGAATGTCAATCATTGTGATCACGTTGTTAAGATTAGATCCCTTCTAAAAAGATAGGATAATTTGGGTAATCTAGATGTCATTAAAACTGTAATTACTAAAAAGCATCAAAAGTCAAAGAAAATCGTGAAAGTTTAAGGCTTAAATGCTCCATTATACCTTAAATATATTATTTGTATAGAATTATCCTCTAAAATATTTTACCGAACGTTTTAATCTCTAAAGTTTAAAACATTATCTCTAAAGCTTTTATTTAGGTCCCCTAACTTTTAAAACTTACAATACAGTCCTCCAACATGTATTCCGTTTGCAATTTGGTCCCCGATATTACACTGCCGTTAGTACATTTGCAATATGGTCACTGAACTTTTTAGGTGCTTGCATTTAGGCCCCCCAACTTTTAAAACTTGCAACACAATCTTCAATTTCATTCTAAACCCCAAATTCCTTTTCGATCTCGAATTTCTTTTATAAAAGTTCTTTAATCAAAGGAGATAGATCTATTCAAGGTGCATTTACTTATTTTATCGTGTTTGTTTATATAAAATACTTCTAGTTTACAAGTCAATTAAAAAATGCTTAAAATATATAAATGACCTTTAATTACATGATGTTATTTTATAAAGTCTCACCAACTATTAAAAGTTACAAAATGATGTCTTAAGAGTTTTGTTTTATCAAGTTTCTGACTATTAAAAGTTACATAATGATCACATTATTATTCGTATGTTCAAACTTATCTCTTTATATTAAAAAAAGTAATGGTTGTTTGAACCAGACACTAACCCGTTGAATGAAATATGATGAAATATGTTAAACATCCGTAAAATTTTCAAGTTAAAAAATTGTTTATACAAAAAATGAAGCTCCTTTATTTTTGAAAGAAAATAAATATTCAAATAAATTTATAAACTTAACTAAAATATTTCAATATTTATGTGCCCACTTAAGTAATCATTTATCGTACTCGAATGATTCATCGAGACTCTTCCATTAATGTTGATATCCTATCACGAATAAAGAAACTTGTAACATGCACACAAAAGCAATATGGACGTTTAGCTTATAAAATTCAATAGTATACATTATTCTATACTATTTTATGAGGTTCACATACATAAATGTGCAAGTCAAATATGAACATGTACGCATTAAGTATAAAGATCTATAATCCTTAATTAATTATTAGGGATTATCATACTTACACAAGTACAAAGAATAGCATATTTCAAATCAAATAGGTACATACTAAAGTTTTATAATCCTTAATTAATTATGAACATGTACACATTAAGTATAAAGATCTATAATCCTTAATTAATTATTAGGGATTATCATAATGAAATTGTTATTTTATTCATTAACTTATTGACTTTATTTGGATGGAATTTCATGGTTTTTTATTTAGTATCTGAATTTCTAAAGTTTATTCTCTCTTTTATTTCTCTTATAATAAGTTTTGTAGGTTATATCTATAAGCTTCGATTTTATAAGACTACGATATAACAATATTTAAGATAAAATTTTCATATTTATTTTCTAAAGAAAATTCGATATCGAAAAGGAATTTGGGGTTTATAATGAAATTGAAGATTGTGTTGCAAGTTTTAAAAGTTAAAGGACCTAAATGCAAGCACCTGAAAAGTTTAGTGATCATACTGCAAACATACTAATAGCAGTGTAACGTCGTAGACCATAATGCAAACGGAATAAATGTTAGAGGATTGTATTGAAAGTTTTAAAAGTTGAGGAACCTAAATGAAAGCTTTAAAAAAATTCAGTGATAGTTACTATTTACCCATAATAATATTTGGAAACAATTAATAATCTTCTCTTAACCTTGTGGTCGTGGGGATCGAATCTCACGGTGGACAATTATTCATAATTGTCGGAGTCTTCCACGGAAGTTGCTCTCATCCTAGCGTTGGGGGCAGCCTACTACCCTTCTTCCCCTTACCTCATTACATATATGAATAGGATAAACTAAATTTTTTAATAACCTTTAATCTGCCCTTAATCTACGCTCCATCGAAAACAAAATCCAGACGCAGATCACAACAAGCTTTAATTTATTGTCAAATTCCAAATTAAGATTTGCAATATACAAGAGGATGTGAAACTGTTGCTAAGGGTAATTGGCTCGAAAAGGTTCTCTTTTTATGTTTTTCTTTTCTTTGGCTTTTCTTTGTTTTCAAGTTTTTTTGAATAAGGATTTCTTTTTGGTTTCATCTTTCTTTCCACTTTCCCCATAAAATTTTCTCTTTCTAACGTTCGTCCACAATATGGAATTTTAAACAACTCGATGAATTGGGTACTTTTTTTTTTCTTATAAAAACTATTCCTCGATGATGATATTTGGAGTTCATCATAATATCATTTGAGTTCACAAAATTTTTATCATTGTAGTTGAAGAAGCATGGTCAATCAAGTTACAGACTGAGATCAAACTATGAAAATAATCCATTTCAAATTAAACCTAGAATTGTTTAGCTATGAAATTCAAGTCAAACCCAGAATTTTTATTCCACAAACAAACGAAATCCCTAATTTAAATTCCTATAAATTTTCCTCCAACTAAAATGCAAAATCCAAATTAAACCCAGAATTTTAATATCACGAAGAAACGAAATCCCTAATTCGAATTCCTATCAATTTCCCTCCAACTAAAATGTCAAATCCAAATCCAGATCAAAATTAAACCCACCACATAAAAACTCAAAGGAACAACTTTATTACTCCCACAGTTCAAATGAACGCAGCCGAGCTAACCAAGACGATAACAAGTTAAGTTGAAGATTATATTATTTTCTCATCACTTTGATTTTTATTTCACTCTGTGTATTCTTTAAAGTTGAAATTTATGAATCTTGTTTAGTGGTGGAGGGATGGTGGTTGAGTTAGTAGGAGAAGTGGCGGAGCAGGTGATTCCAATTCGGGTGGGAGGAGAGAAAAGAAGCATTTTTCATTTTATTTTTTAAAAGATTAAAAGATTATTTATTTTATTTTTAATTGGTCATTAAATTTTATTTTTAACGAAGTTAATGTTCTTGTATAAACGAAGTAATGTTTTAAATTTTAAGAAGTAAAACGTTTCAAAAAATAATTTAAAAGATTCATAAATAAAGGGTTCATTTGTTCATTTACGTTCGTGAACGTTCGATTATATGTTCGTTTATGTTCGTTCATTTATGTTCGAACATAGGGCAAGTTGAATATGTTACGAAGATTATTGAAGTTGTTTGAATTTCGAGAAGATTGTTTTGTTGAACAAATTAACTTTAAGACTTTATTATGTTCATATAGTTTATTTATGATTTATGTATGTTTTTGTCATATTCGAACAAATTAACTCTAAAGTTGCAGGTTATATTAATGAATTTTAAGTTGTTATTCTTGTTGTTTACTTTTTTTTTACATTCGTTTGTTGTGTTCGAATAAGTTTTTTTTGTTTGTGTTGTTCGTTTATGTTCGTTTATTGTGTTCGTTCGTTCGTTCGTGTTCGTTTATGTTCGTTTATTATTTAAATGAACAAACATGAACAAACTATATTCCTTAATGAACGAACATGAACAAAAAAAAATTCCTTAATGAACGAACATGAACAAAAAAAATTTGTTCGTTTATGTTCCTTTATTTATTAAATGAACGAACATGAACATACCTCCGTTCGTGTGCGATCGGTTCGTTTACAGACCTACTTATATCTCAATTTTTTAAAAGATGACTTTATTAACTAAAAAAATGAGGTAATCTTTACAGCTGTACCACAGTATTAATTATTGGTATTTCCCATATGACTTCAACAAGATTCAACCGTAGGTTCTGTGGTTTTGGGCCCAAAAAATTTACCACTGATTCATAATACTTTGTTTGCTTTTTTATTGTAACAATAGTAATAAATCTAATTTTTTTGGGTCCTTGCTATTCCATGGCCTTGTTCCGTCACGCACATTGAGTTGTATAAGCCCCGCCTCTGAGTATTTGAGTTACCAATTTAACTCATATGTCATGTTATTCGTCACACTATCAATCATCGTGAACTGCCACGCCAATATTATAAACTATCACGTCAGTATTGTAACGATCAACGATAAAAAATATTTGTCAAATGACCACATTAAATTTATTTTTTGGGTTAAAAAACAACACGAGTATCACATTATTATTTTTTAAATATCGAAACCTCTTATGCGTTTTTACCAACAAACAATGATCTTGATTTAAGATCTTAGTTAAAGTAATTTTAATGAAAACTTAACTTTGTTT